GAAAAGCATATAAATGTTTATAATAATTTTAAGTTGGTAAAATGTAACTATTGTATTAGAAAAATAAATAAACATTATGCGATTATTTATTAATATTTTCATATTTTGATTTAAAGATAATAATTTATCTTATTAATAATAAATAACTAATTAAAAAAATAATTTATTTATAACAATTAAGAATATGCCTAGACAAAACGTTAGTTAGGTAACCGTATATAAATAAATTAATGGCCACGAGCCTACGAATTATATTTACAAATCATAATGTTTATTTATACGATTAACATGGACTGTGACTACCAGACAGCGATTCACCAAATCATGCCACTAGCGGATAGTGTCGATGACTAGAGTGGTCGCTAAAACGCAGTGCTATCACGGTAGTTGCCTAAACAGCAGCCACGCCACGGCTCAAAGTCTCACCACCAACGACGAATCGATGCACACTGCACACACCAAGGGACCGTGTCACCGCGGTTGCCTACCCAACGCGCCGGAACGTACTTTAGTGACGGTTGCTTACTTAACCACGTCACATCTATAACATCAATACAAGTTGACAACTGCCCGGTCGGTGGGTGTACTGCAACCAATGATATCTTAGATCATAGAATACGACTTATCCACGACGGAAAGTTAACTGACGTACGTTAACTCATAGAACGAAAGATCAATTGCCTAGGAAGACTGTGACTCACCCGACACGTCTGATCGTCTTCCGGACAAATGTTAGTCATCGCCACAGCTTGTTTAAACAAACATGGGACAAACAACGATCCCAACATAACATTGTATACCCAAACACTGGAGATTTCCCATAATTGTAAATAATAGGGTTAGGCTCTTGGGATCATCGCCCGTGTTAATCAACTGATCAGGTATCGTGAACTGGGTTCGACCCATATGTCCCCTATATTATGCAGGTACAGACATATATAAATAATAACTTTGTATAGAATAATAATAAATTCTAATACTCATTAATATAAATTAAAAATGAATTGTATTAATTTAATTTAATTCTTTATAAAAGGCCTGTTACTACACGGCATACATATTATGTTTATTATATTACCAAATATACAAAAAATATGCTCATAAATAATAATATAAAACTTGGTACCCATAGTTCGTTAAGTTTGAAGTAAATATTTGTATGTATATTAAATAGCTTTTGGATTTTAATATTATATTGATTATGATTCAATTTAAATGATAATTTTAGATGAACTTATATTTATAGTATGCATAATAAAGTCGTAGAATACTGAATATACTATATGAGGCATATTATTATGCTTTTTCAAAATCCATTTCTAGAAAATGGTTGTCAAATATCATATGAAAACTGTTTCTCTCATGTACGAGTTCATTTGTGTTTAGTAGTTTATTTGAATCGCTTTTTTGACTTTTGAGAGAATTACTTAAGATGGATACACATAAGAAAAGCTTTTCTCCTATATTGCCAATTTACTATTATGTAGAAAATTGCTTTTTGCAATGATGACATGAAAACCATTTATTTTTGAGTAGTATACCATTTAAAGTCTATTTCGGTAATATTTTAACATAATTTTATATTTGTTGAATTTAATATGATATAATATGTATACTATTATTGTGTATACATTTTTTATTGTTTTGTGGGGTTACATATATAGAGTACTTTTAATAAATATCGTAAATTGTAATTTAATATTATTTTGAATATCATTGGTTTTCTTTCAATATAATATGATAATAATAATGATAATAATTTATAATTAAAATGTTATTAAACACATATCAAAATCACATTAATATTTATACAATTAAACATTTAAAAATATGTATGCAGTTTTATTTGAATTATGTATATTAGTTTAATTTTGGATTAAATTTAACTATATCTTAAAAATTAATGTCTATTATATACATTATTAGGTATAAATTTGATATAATTTTGTTATATACTGAGTGATTCTTTTATCAAACAACACTAATTATTTCAAAAAGGGTAAATTTTTTTGAAGATATTTTTTTACATAGTTTCAAGTCGCTTATAAAACAACGTTTTTATTAAAAAATTATATTTTTAATTATTTTTTATCCTCATAATTTTTTAAGTTTTTTACATACTTTTACATACTTTTATAATAGTATATATATGTAAGTATACTTAAATTGCTAAGAGTTCTGGTTTGTTTCATATATTAGTAAAGAAAATAAAGTACAATGTGTTATGTGTGTGTGACAAAATGTTGACAACATTTCTTTTTAAATAATAAATTTCTTTCATTTAAAACAAAATTCTGAATTTCCAAAAAGCAAAATCTTGAATTTCATTACCATATTGAGACAGCTTTCCGTCGTACGTTGAAGATGCTTGGCTTTGGCATAAGCATAAACAGAATTTAAGCTCTCTAGTTGTCTCAAAGTTTTATATTGCTCTCTCGTACGGTCTTTTGAACTATTTTTCTATTCTGTGAGTAACATGTATTACAAGGTTCCTCATAAGTGATAAATAAGTGATAAGTCATAAGTTATACAATCCCATCTAAAAATATCAAAAATAGCCACAGTTTTTTATTAGTGTTAAAAAACAAATTTTAATGATATTAATTAAAATCATGATTATTTACAAATTATTTTGTATCTAATATCTCTAATAAAAATTAAAAAATGCTTTATATTTTAAAATGTAATAAGTACATGATTCCTTATAAAATGTTTTCACTGAAAATTATAAAAAGTTCAGCTTAAAGCCACACAAATTGTATATGAGTGATTAAAGTTTATATTTTTATGACATTGGATATTCACAAGGAAAATAACAATTTTAAACGATTTCCGTTATTTAGTTTATTAAAAACATACTAATCCTAAATTCTCAACTTATCCTAATCTTGTATTTTTTTTTTTTAATAAACGATCATAAAAATTGTTATTCTTAGCTAAAAAGCTTTAACATTTAGAACAAAATTATCATGATTCATTGTTACAACAGTTTTTAAATATCACTAATACATACGAATAATTATTTTATAAACATTTGAAGTATAAATGTTGACAGATTAACAAAAATCAACATAATCGTTTCATCACATTGCTGTTATTAGTTATATGTTATCAATGTAGACTTAAATCAATTAAAATGTATGTTATAAATAGAGTAAAATGCATTTATGCTTTATTATAATGGTTTAATATTTCTAAAATATTCTATGAAATAAGAATACTTATAAATAGAGACAGGATGTTGATGACCTAAAAAGTATCAACAATTACAAAAATTTAAAAATGTTTCAATGCACTAAAAAATATATAAAATTACCTGGAAATATAAAAACACATTTCAAATATTATTTTAAAATGTAATTTTAAAAAACACTTACATTTTAAGTTTAATTAACAGTAAAAAAAAATATATTACATTATTTCATTATAATAGTATAATAATGATTTATTTTGTATTAATTATTAAAATCTGTATCTTTACATAATTACATACGCAATACATTTAGTTACAACAAAAACGACATTAAAAAAGAAAAAAATGAATTTTTACTAAAAATGCAAAAAAATTGTTTTTTTTCTTTAGTTAAGTTAAATTAGTATATTCTGAATTAAGGGAGCATGAAAAAATTTTTTAGCTAGCATAGCGTTTTATAGAATGAAATGAAAAAATTCAAAAGTCATCAACATCTAATTGTAATATTATTTAATTTAACAAAATTACCATATTATTATTGTTTTTATAAACATTTTTAAGGTTATACAATTAACTATCTAAATATTATATTAATTCACAATTGTTAAATGTATTAATCTGAAAGTGAATCATACATAGGTAATATTATTATTTAAAACTCATTTATTTTTTAATATATTTTTATATAACCTCCGAAAATACTTAAAAGTAGTTTTTTCTAAGAATTTAAGAATTTACGATAAAATCAATCCAAGTTAAAAATTTGGCCTCAAATAATATTATGTAAAATGTTTCTCTTTTTAATATAAAATACATATTATATGGTTGTAATAATCACCTACAGTCAAAAAATATAATTTTATTATAGATGCCAACTAAAATATCCATTAAATTCGTGCTTTTTTACAATTGAATAGGACAAACTATAAGCAAAATTTAAAGATTTCGGTATTACGATTTACGAATCATATAAACATGGAAACCTAAATTATTTCATAAATTATCGTTAACTATGTTCATGTACATAAAAATGGTCTACAAATAACAGTTTTTAGCACGTTTCCATTGATTTTCTACGTCCGTAGCAACGGAACCAACAGTATACAAAGTACGACACAGTATGGTCGTATACTACAAATATTTATTTGGTCGTAGTAACTTCGTATTAATTTCTATTGTCGGTGATGAACTATTAATGTAAAACAGTTAAAATATGTTACGTGTTAAAGAACTGCAGAATGCATTGATCGAGACCCGGGTACAAGTACACGTAAGTAAAAAAGATGAATGAATACCTTATAAATAAAATCCCTATAGATAAATTAAAATGTTGCAAAGGATTTGATGAGTGAAAATAGAATTTTGAAAATTATGGAAAAAAGGCAAGAGAAAGCACTATCAAAATATGAGGGTACACATGTTAAACTACCCCAGATCATTAAGTCGTACAGCGAAGACATTCGCTCACTTCAGACTCGACTACATTACATGAAAAGCTCTTACAGAGAACTGGAAAACAAAAACCAATTGATAAGTACTAAGCTATTGGATGTTCAAAAAAAACACAAACACTTGTTAGACTTGACCAAGAACAAGCAGCTCGGTGAGAGAGAAAAATTGTCCAATCAACTTGAAGAAGCGGAATACATTATTAAACAACAAGAGACAAAAATTCAGGTACATCAACATAAAATATTATAACTAGTATAAATCATAGGTATTTCAGTATAGATTTTGTTTTATTTATTTGTAATCTTAGAATTTAATAAAACAAATTGAACTTCTAAATAAAAACCACCAAAACCAAATGAACATAGGGATAAACAAAGCAAAGGCTCTGCAACTAGAACTAAACCATTTAAAGGAAACAAATGACCAATTAGTATCCAAGGTTGAAAAACTCAAGTATCAAAGTTATGGTGGAAGACGGAGCTACTTATGTGCATCAAACCAAAGTATTGCACCAAAATCCAGGTAAATTTATTTTTAAAACACTGATTAATATTTTATAAACTTATTGAAAGCGAACTTTATGTTTATGCTTGATTAGGTCTCCGGAAATGTCTAAGAACTCATTATTAGTTAATGTCGTGGGCGTCGTCGTTGACAGAGTGGCATCAACTGGAATTCCCAGAAAAACGGTAAAACCTGAATTGGTTCACGGTGAGTCCGAGATCAGCGATCACACCAAAGACCTCCAAAAAAATCTAATGAGGCAGGTACACGAAGATGTGATCAATAAACCAAACATGTTGGCCAACTATAAAACGGAATCATGCAACTCATGTGGTGATTCGAAAGATTTGAATTTTGGAATTGCTGAACTCATGAAGGTCATACTATTGTTATTTAAACCATTAGGTATTTTTTCATTTTATTAGTAAACATAATATTTACTTTAGAAAAAAGATATATCAGACGCATGCGACGAAAGTATTATGCAGCAGATTGAACCTGATGTAGCTGTTAACCCTTTTTCACTGTCCAATGTTCATGAAATGAAATCGACCAGGGAAGATCAATCGATAACAAACTTGAGAAACAAGGATGAAGAATTAATTAATGCCCGAGAAGTTAACTTGCAGAAAGAAAATTCGTCCCCAGACGATGATGATACGAGCAGTATATCATCTGTTAGTGATACTGATTAATAGATATATTATTATCTCCGTTTCATTTTAGTTTTGTAGATTTTGAGCGCAAATAGGAATGTATTTCCGTAATGGTTTTACAATGTTATATTTTCGTTAGATTAAGTAAGAAATAGTTGTCCAAAAATTTCATTTGATCTCATTCATTGTTTAAAAATATTATTTAGTTAAATACTAATTAAGATATATCATTATTAATTTAATTTTGAATTTTCTCAAAATATCAGAAAACATTCAATACCTTCATTAAAACAAATATGGTAAAATATTTAATGAGTAGTGCCTATGACTAATATAATAAAATCTATTTTGCTCATATGGTACCTAGTTAAAAAATACAATCCTAGACATTTTAAAAGCTGGCCAGTTAATTATTAAACACATCATAAGATAATTTTATAAAACTCTTTTATTCTCATGTAATAGAAACAAATTTGCTGATTTAGTTACGTTTTACAACTATAAAATTTGAAATTTTCCAGACAGATATATTTTGACAATGAAGTTATAATTTATCAAAGGATTAGTTGGTTGCCAACTTTTATTCTTATAACCATTTAATTATGAATTTATGTGAAATTATCATTGTTATAAATAATTAATATTTTATAAAACAAACATTTCATGTATTATAAATCATATTAAAACCTGTAGATGACCAACAATCTTAAGCTGAAAAAAAATTAAAATCCTTAAATAAAAAAAGTTCAAACAATTTAAAAACGTATGTTATTTACATAATATCTATTGTTTTATCAAAACCGGAAAGTTTTACAATGCTAAATTGACAGATTTCACAATATCAACCTTTTTGAATCAACTTGAGAAAATTGGTGCTTTTATTTTTATTACCCACAAAATTACAAGTATTGTTTTACGAATAAGATTTTTATAGCTCTTTTTACTACTTTTTATAAATGCCGAATGAATGGTTTTTATGAGCCATTTTTTTTTTATATACATTTCTTTTAGTTATTTCAGTTTTTGTACCTTAAGTGCCTTTAGATTTAAATATTAAATGTTTGAATCCAAAATAAAAAACAAAATTCCCCATCATATTAAATCTTTAACGATTTAATCTTCATTACATTTAATATTGTTTGTTTTTATTAGTTTATACCTTAAAAATTAAAATGTTCAAGTACCCATACATGGACAGTTATTATCAAACTGCACAATGTCTGATTTTCGAGAACAAAGTTGGAATAAGTTAACATTGTCTGGGCATTGTATACAGTGCTCAATTATATTTAAGTACTGTAGATTAAATATTGACTATATTAAAAATCAAATAAACATCTTACTGAGTGCTTAAATAATCATAAAAAAAACTTGAAATAGACACTTCAAATATTTGTTTCCTATTAATAGTCTTTAAATTCTATTATTTAGTATGCCACCACCTACTGAAGAATACATATTTTTTATCTAAAAGTGGTTTGACATGAATAAGATAAATATTATTTATTATTCAATTATAGTTATTTTAAAGTTTTTATTTTTATTACCTAATTATTACGAAAAAGTAATGTTAGGCACATACTATAGCGTTATATTACTTTATTTATTATCACATATACAACTATTATGGTAATTTGAGTTATAAAGTTGACCAGATTTTTTACATTTACACCAATTGGTTTTACATAATAATACAGTAGTAATGTTTAGTCTGTACAGAGATTTTCGTTTCACGTTTTAGATTCTGAGCGGAGCGAGGAAGCATACTACCAAGCTAGTATGGTCTTACAATGGTGTTAATTTTTTTTTTTTTTATATACTGTACACATTTTTTTTTCCCAGAAGGAGTGTTTTGATTTCCTTGCTACCTTATCTTTTAGAAAATTGGATCAATATTGTACTTTAAAGAGGTCATTTTTCGATTTTCTCAATAGTTATTTAATGCTACTGGAAAAACCACTGAAAAATTACGAAAAACAGCTATAAATTGGAATTTAATTTATAACACTTTGTTCATCACCATAGAAATGAATAACAAATAGTAATATTATAAAACTTACATGATATAATAAATAATAACAGTATAAAATATCCAGACTGACAAACCATCTCAGCTCAGAATCATTTTTCTTATACGACGATATTATATCATTGAATTCAAGTTTAATACAATCCATTATACAATGACCCACTTTTAACTTACTGTACAGCAGATCGACATCCACCTTTTAGATTTTATTATTATTATTATTATTATATAGCTTATAAACCCATCGGCCATCATTGCTTAATAATAATACTGATTGAATTATGTCGATGTATATAATAAATGGTTTGTTTAATCTAGTGGCAACGAATTAAAACGATTTACTATAATTTTGGATTGAAATTTCTAGAACGAATCATTTTATACGACGTCACTCACGGAAACCATTTATAAACAAAAATGTCCTTCTGAAATCTCAAAATTCCCGTTTGAGGTCCTCCCGGGGTTGATCATCAACCTTTTTAAATTAGCCTATCTTTTAAGTTCGTCCAAATTACACACATTGTGAAAATTTCATCTATATCGGTCCAGTAGTTTTGGAGTTTATCCCGGACAAAGAAGTGACACGAGATTTTTATATAGAAGATAAGATAAAGATAAAAATTAAAAGTCCCAAATCAATCATTTGATGGATTTAATAATATAAGTGGATACCTATAATTATCATAATGGAATTTTCAATTATAATCAAGAAACATTTACACATTTAACTGAAACTGACTAGTGAGATAGTTGAAATATTATGGCCAATATCCTCTAATTGACTAACAATTTATTAAAATATAATTAAAACAAGTTCTTAATATTAACTGTTTTTATGTGAATTTGTAAAATATATTAATATAAGTAAATTAATGATGTTAGTGCCAAAATATGAAAACAATAAAGTAAATCGTTGTCAATGTGAGTAGTTTTGACTTTTGGATTTAATAGTCGGTGTCTTACACATGTGGCCTCTCTTGAGCTGGACTGACCCATAGGTACTAAAATTCTAGGTATACCATTAACAATTATCTTTCATAAATTTAAATTCACGGACAAACAAATTGTTAAATAATATTTGTATATAATATGATGCATTGGTGACGAAAGTGCGATTGATGGATATAAATAAGGATAATTTAGGTATCTTATATTTATAAGTATAATAATTTAAACAGGAAAGTCACATGTATAATTTTAAATGTGTCATAAAAGCACTTCCAATTGTTTTATTGAACGTGAAAATATAATAGCAACGTACGTTAGAAAATTATAGTCAAATTGTAATATTGGTATTTGGCATTTATAAATCCAGTAGGACAGGTAACGTTTCATGATTCATTTATATTAGTTTATTTTAATATTTTTTAATATTTTGTTATTATAAAATTATTAATTAAATTCACCTGCTTAAAAATATCAATGAGTTCAAGACTATGACCATAATACGTGGGATGTATGGCCATTTTACTTTTACTAGACTGTGACAGTATGACAAGTTAGGCGTAAAGTTACGGGATGTACATAAATGGCTTTTAAATATATGCAATTATATTGTGACGTCAGTCAAATGATACTAAAATCTACTATGAACCTATTTACCCGGTACCTATGTCATTATCAAAATTGGTATTACGCGAGTGTATAATATATAAAATATACAGCACAGGTAATGTTTATAATTAGGTTTTGCATTGTATTTTTTCATTAAAACGTTCGTGTAAGTACATTTTTTGCAATCATTTTTAATTAAAACTGCCGAACGTAAAATACACGCAGGGTCGCCAAATTCATTCTTCAGGTGTTTTGAGATATGCATTGAAGAGAATAATATTACAAGTCCACGATTACACGAAATAATGATTCATTACAAAACAATAACGAGCAGTTCACCCGTCTCTCAAATAAGAATTTTCATAATATTTCTTTTGAAAAACAATGATTGTTCCTTAAGTATGGATTTAATGATATTTTTTAGAAAATCTATGCGGAACCAATATTAAGAGTGAACCCGAAAAAAATGTTGTGATAATTAGTTAATGTTTTCTGGTCCCGGCAACAACAAAAATTATGTTTTTCATATTTTCTTATTCTTTAACAGGTTGCCATGCTAAAAATGTGTAACCTGCGATTATTGCTTTGTAGGATCTAATAACCCTACAGTATACTTTTGCCACTGGGTTTTGTGGGGTCTTTGAACTCTAAAGATTAAAATCATTTGTATGCCTCGTAGGGTTATGAAAACCGTCAAAATATACACTTTCGTACGGAAACATATTTTGTCATGGCCTCCTGGGCAATTCTGTTAAATGGTATTTATTAAGTAAATTATTAGGTACTTTTTTTTAAATTCATTTTTTAAGGTCAAATTGGAAAAGTTTGTTGGACAATACAAGACAAATTTCCGTTAAACGATATGTACAATTAAATGACGGGTCAATAGACCCCCCGCGGCGGTCAACCTGAATTGTTTTTGCGATTAGAATAAGTTTGTGAAAATGAGAATGACATTTTTTCTCACCAAATTCGCTTTATTTTTAGAGATAAAATAGAAAATTTAAAAAAAATTGATATTTTGGTGTTTTTAGGAGGGGGAGAGTATAAAAAACCATTTTTGATTGTGAATGCGATGCTCGCAATTTATGAATATGTATAATAACATACATTTTCTCTAATGTAGTACTAATTTATAGCAAATAGAAAATATTAAAATTGGAAAATATAATTATTTCCTGATGCGGAGAATAAGTAGGTAATACCTCGGGTGTATTTTACCGTCACTAACGTTTTCTTGAATTTTTTTCTTGAACTGGTTCTGTACAGAAATGGATTGTTGGTAATAATGTAAAAATTTAAAAAGATAGTATAACCTACTGCAGGAATCATCAATCTTCCATTCGGGTTGATTCTTATCAGCGATTAATTGATTATTTACAGCAAGAAGCAGAGATAGAAATTGCCAAATAGGAAGAATGGTAATTCTCCCATCTTCATTCACTGGTTTACCATG